CTAATATACACCCAGCTACTATACACATTTTCTTCATACTCTAAAAGTCAAAATCACTATCATTTTCATCTACTTCCTCCTTCTCTTCCTTACTCCTAATAAAAACCGGCAAACTGATCGAATCACTAGTCTTCACAAACACATTCCCCAAATTCTCCACCCCTCTCAACACCCCACCACCAATAGGACCAAACTTATCCTCATCCACAAAATAATCAATCACACAATTCAAATTCTCCATCAATTCCAGAACTTCCATCTGATTATATCCAATTTTGACACACACACAATCTCCATTATCAGTAGGTATGTAGCTCGTATTCCCAATTATACTCTTTAATTGAGCATACACATATTTCTCATCACATCTTACATCTTTACTTCTTTCCTTCTTGGGGATGGTTGGGTCCTGAGGGGCGAATTGGATCTTGTATGGGACTTTTTTGTTTTTGATATAGAATTTATTCCCAAGTACTTGGGGCATGAATTTGTAGACACGCCAATCACAGACTATTATATCGTTTTCTTTGAATAATTTAGTGCTGTTTTTCGGATTTTTCATGAGTGATTTGAGTTTGGTGAATGAAAGGATGTTGGTGAAGATTCCTTCTGTTAGTTTTGATTCTGTGAGGGTTTTACGATATGGAGTGGAAGGGTCTTTGGTGATGAGGAGGATTGATTTGGAGGTGATTTTGTCGAGTTTGTGTGTAAGTGGGATGATTCTCGGTGTGTAGTCTTTTTGTCTAAGGATGGGGATTTTGATGTTTATGATGACATAGATTGATTGCTTGTCCTGGGTGCTGGTGGTGTGCTTGAGCAATGATTTTAGTGACTTGGTTGCATCCTTGCGAGAGTCTTCGCCTAATACAAACTCGGTCATCTTTAGGGTGGTTACTTGGTTGATCATTTAGAGAAGAGGTGAAGTTGTTGCAACTGAAAAAAAAAATTGTGCGATGATCTTCGGTTTGGTGGTTTGAATGAAAATGGTGATAACAGTACCCTTGATAAGGTTGGGAGTACCAGAACTACAACAAGTATCAATTATGTGGTCTAGGTTAAATCTCTACAAATACATCATCATTCTTTAAGAAGAATACCTATAATAAGCTACAGAATATAGATACATAACATACATAGAAGTATATATAATATTAATCGGGCCCGTCAGGGATTAATCCCCACGCAAAGCTCTAATCACGGCTGGTCTTCGCATCATATGTTTAGTCCATTTATAAACTTCAGGAAATTCGACTTTCAAATTAATTCCAATTCTATCCACAACATTATTCCAAGGTACAAATGATAAATCAGCCACAGTTGCCCTATCACCAACTAACCAAACAGGATAATCAAAAAATCTTGATTGTGATATAGGTGTTGTACCAGCACTATAAGCGGCTGCATTCTCAACATCTAATTCCATAATTAATGCTTCTCTTCTTTCGGCCAATGCCATTTCAACTACTCCATAGACTCGTCTTACTTCGTCAGTATATCTTTCTACTGCACTTGGGACAGGACAAGAATGGAAATATCTGAAATGCAAAGCTTGACCAATCATAGGTGCATGGCCTGAAGTTTGGAAGAATAACCATGAATTAATTGAACTTTGTTCCATTAAATTATTTGAATATAATGGACAATCACCATTTTCTTTTGAATATTTAGTTACTAGATATAATATGATAGCACCTGATTCCCAAATAGAAGTATTTTCATTAAAATGATCAATTAATGCTGGAACTCTTGCATTTGGATTTATGGTTACGAATTCAGGTGCTCTTTGTTCTCCATGATTAAAATCTAAAAAGATTGTATTAAAAGGTAAATTCAATTCTGATAATATTATAGCAACTTTGAATCCATTTGGTGCTGATCTATGTGAGAAAAGGGTATAACCTTCAGTTGGTTGATTTTGGAAAAATTGTGTGATTCTTGATTGTTGTTGAAGATTTGAATCATTTTGTAATTGTTGTTGTAATAATGTTAAATTTACTTGATTCTGTTGTGGATGCTGTTGTTGCTGTTGTCCTTGCTGTGATTGTTGTTGATCATTCAATGATACTGATTTCAATCCTGCTGATAAGTTGGAGATTGTATGAGTTGTTTGCGTATTGCCGTTGGTATTTCCATCTAAATGTTGGTCAGACATGGGTGCACTTTTATTCTCTTTTTGTTAAATAATTGTGATTTATGTGAATGTGAAATATAAAGGGTCTACTGGTAATCTTAGTGTATTATCCCGAGATGGTTACTGCAGTAGAAATAGTAATAAGCTGTTGCTTTGTTAAATCGATTATAACAAAGGATGTGGGGCGTTGGTAATTGGCTAAAATTCTTTGTCGATAAAAAATAAACTATTGGATATTCTCCACAAATACAAAACTGCTAATATAAAATATTAAGATCAATGGAATGGAAATTAGTACTAGTACTATTGGTAATGACAAGGTGTATGTATAAATTATATGAAATGTATAAGCCCAGGGCTTTAGTATAAATATTAGTTTAAGTTTTAACTAGCAAATGGAGGTTTACAATTTATTGAGAGAGAGCGAGAGCGAGAGAGAAAAAATTGTCAGTTAAATTTTTTAAAGATTTTTTTTATTTTGACAAACAAACAAAAAACACCACCTAGCCAATATTTTGCATTAATGTGCTAATGGATTTGAATACGCGATTGACTATGAAAAGAATCGATACCCTACCACAGTAGGATTGATAAGAAGTTCATATTGCCAAGATTCAGTACATGCTTCACGATAACAAGACCCCATGTTTTCTCTTCAATTAAAATTAAATACCCTCTTGGATACCTTCCTGCCATATAAAACAAATGCCAAATTCATTTCGTATTCACCCCTCTAGCACGTTCCTATTTCAGTGGTGAGATGCTCTCCAGCGGAAAGCGAATAGGAGATCAAATATGTCGGAGAATTAGACGACTTTACCGAGGGTGTAAATATAGCTTTGATTCAATTGTTCTAGCCGCTATTATTTCTTGTTTAGTCTCAAATTGTTTCGGGAAACTTACTTCTTTCGGAGATCCATGTCCGAGCTTTCTTTTCAATAAGACTTTGGATCACAAACACAGTACATGTTAAATGCCGTTGGTTTACTTCACTACAAGAGAGAGGATATGTTTGTAAATCACGATTAAATATATATATTAACTTTTTACCTATATGTATAAACTGTCACATTTCCTTATCTTTATAAATTATAAATCTCCCATTAATTAATAACACAACCACAAAGTTTAATCAAATAATCGATTACTTGAGCTTATAACTGCAAGACCTTGTAATTTACCTCCATTCTTTCTATTTCCATAATATTGACCATTACCACCTCCAGAACCATCTCCACCGATATATCCATTGATATAATCATTTTCATCATCTCCTCGTCCTCCTCTAGTAGTCAATTTCTGATTAATCAATTTCATATCATTTAATTTCCCTTGTAAATTCTCAATTTTATCTTGTGCAGATTTCATCTCAATCAGATTATTCTTTATCAAATTCTCAATAACATCACGTAATTCATCACGTTGTTCTCTCAAATTATTCACTTCCATCCTCAAATCTTCATTATTGTCCCTACAAGAATCTCTTCCTCTTCTTGGACTATTTTCATTCACCTTCAATTCCATATTTTCCTTCAATAGCTCATTATACTTCTCCACCATCCCAGAATCTAATCGTTTTGCATTATCAATCTCGCCAATGCGTTCATTCAATTGATTAATCTCTTCATTCTTGATTAATAATTGTCGATACAATTCCACATTTTCATAATTCAATTTCAACGCACTTGGAGTTTGACCATGCTCACTCAATAATGCATGTTCTTCAGATATGAACCGTAATCGACGTTCTTTATTTAATTTATCTTGTAATTCCACCACTAGTTTCCGTTTCTCGATTAATTCTTGACGTAAGTCTTGAATATCTTTCGGCATTTGATTCTTGGATCTTATATTGTTTTCAAGAGCGACTTCTCGTTTAATGGCAGATGCTAGTTCAGTAGTCACAAATTCTAATTCATTCAATAAGTCGGAATTACAGGTCATAATACTCATTTCTTGTTTTGTGAATGTGAGTGGTGCTTTGATGGTACTGGTTATGGAATCATTGGTGCGAGTTCTGGTTAATGGAGAATCATCTTTCTTGTTTGATTTCGATAATCTTTTGAAAATATTAAATGATTTGGAGTGACGAGAAGTCGAAGCATTTGAGACTGTAGATTCACGTCTACTGGAACTTCCACTATTCATAACTCTTGGTGATTCAGGGGGGACAAATGAACCATTGCTATTCTCATTATTTCCACCGTTAGCACTAAAACTTCCCATTAAGACTCTTGGTGAAGGTGGTAATGACGGAGTAGCATTGAAATGAGAAGGAACCATACTTGTATTAACATATGACCCTGATCTTGAAATTACATTCCCTCCATTAGCTCCAATTGACGACCTACTTGATCTTTTCAAATTCCCAAATGATCCACTTGCAGTTCCCGACTTCGAAATCGACGCACTCGAAACCTTGGATTTAAGCCCACTACCAAACTCGAAAGTTGACTGTTTATCATCATAATTCTCCAGATCTTGTTCTTCTTCAACTTCTTCCATCAATATATCTCGTTTAGTCATGATATCTTTTTCAACATCTGGCAGAAGTGACTCTTTGAAATATGAATAAGCACTATTTCTTCCACTATATCTACTCGAAACCTGTCTGATGATTTCATCTGTTTCATTTTCCTCAGTTGGAGCAGAAATCTTTTGAAAACTAGTATCTACTCCATCATCTTCTGAAGAAAAACTGGCGTCGTTGTTATATAATGATCCCGACATATTATCATTCAATGATTTGGATGAAACGGAATCTGGTTCTGGTTTGGGTTGTTGCTCTTCTTCCTCGGCTGGGTCGGGTTGGGTTGTTGTTTGGGTTATTGGCGTGAATGATGGGGTTTGGGACATTGAAGGACTTGCAAATCGAGGAATTGAATCAGAAGCGGGAGATTTGAAATTGCTAAATACGGTATTTGCGACAATTTTATTAAATGATCCATTTGAGATTTGTCTATCCATTGGCTTTTTGATATATCTTGGTGGAGATAATGTTTTCGTCACTTGTGGTGGCAGTTGTTTAGTCAGATCGTTCTCATCATTTTCATTGTTTCCAAATCGACTCTTGACTCTAAAAACAGGAGTTGACATTGCTGAACTTGGTCCATTATTATTACTAGTGAAAGTGGTCGAACTTTCATTGTATTCCAGACTTTCATATTCACTAGACGCATCATCAGTATCATACCTTCCATTCGATCTATCTCTACTCACTTTATGTTCCAATTCATCATCATCTTCTTCTTGTGTCCTTGTCCCTTGTTGACGAGGCAGAGGTTTGGTAATCACCGGTATCTCAATTTCTTCATTCAAATCCACATCACTGCGATCTTTACTGCCAGCTCTATACACAATATCCCTCTCCTCCTGCTCGTCATCATTTTGTTCTTCTTCTTCATGACTAGGCAATTCCGGCAACGCCTTCACCAGCTCAGCAAAACTCTCAACCAACGGACTTGGACTAGGTGGTTTTCGTCTCGGCATACTACCACCACTTTTCTTCTTCGTATTCCAAATTCCAACCATTGATTCTTTTTGTTTTTCCTTCTCAATCAATTCAACCGCTTCCAATTTCGCCAATTCGGATTCCTGTTTCTTGTCTTCAAGATATCTTTGATTAGATTCTGGTTCTTTTGGAGCTGATTCTTCTTCTACATCGTTGAATAAATTCAATTTCCGGACCCGGAGAGTACTCTTCCTCGATATCCTATCATGATGTTCTTCCCCTTCTTCTTCCTCCTCTTCTTCTTCAACTACATTCATTAATGAATCCGACGAATTGTAATAATTCATCAGATATGGATTTGATGGGGGTGGAGGGAGGGGTGTGAATGTATTCCCTGCTGTTGTTGATCTTTGTGGGTTTCGTTGAGGTGGTGGCAGTTGGACTCGATTATCTTCTTCATATTCATCTGGTTGACGTTCTGGAGACTGTTGTTCATAAGCAAAAGATGACTGAGATTGTTGTTGATATGAGTCATTTTCTTGATCATAGCTTCGTGATTGAGATGATTGTTGTGATTGGGGCTGTTGGTCTATGTATCCTGGTTGTTGTTCTTCCCTATATCCCTGTTGTTGATCACTGTGACTTTGTTGAGGTGGTGGGAGTTCACTAACATATCCTTGTTGATCACCATATGCTTGCCGTTGTTGAGGTGGCACTGCTTCATCATTATATCCTTGTTGAGGCACTTGCTGTCCATTACTATATTGATCAGATGTATATCCTTGTTGCTGCAGTTGTGGAGGAGCAATTCTCGGCTGATTCTGTTGTTGCGGAGGAGACTGTCCATACATTTGTCCACCACCTTGTCTTTGAAATTGTGGCGGATTTCCAGTCACCAAATTCTGAGGTCTGAATTGCGGTTGTGCTCCAGGGGGATACATCGGTCCAGGTCCAGGTCCAGCACCCAAAGATTTCGTTCTGGCATATTGCTGAGGTGGAGGCATGTTGTTGTTGTTGTTATTGAAGGCTGGATTGTTATTATATCTCGTATTCAGTAATGACATAGTTCTTGGTCCATTTGAAGGAGGTTGTTGCATTTGCTGTTGTTGAGGTTGTTGTCCATATCCATATGGTCTTGGCTGAGGTTGTGGAAATGGGCCAGGTTGAGATCCACTTTGTAATGACATAGCACGAGGTCCTCCAACAGGTGGGTATTGCTGATATTGTTGTGGTCTTTGTTGTTGGGGAGGGAATGGTTGTTGTTGTTGTTGACCTGGAGGAGGGGGATAGGCACCACTCCTCATTGACATAGCTCTTGGTCCGCCTTGTTGTTGTTGCATCATGCCTGCATTACTGGATAGTGACATTGCTCTTGGGTTATATCCTGGATTACTTGTCATCGACATTGCTCGTGGATCGCCCGGTGGATACCGTTGTTGTTGCTGTTGTGGTTGTTGTTGAAGCATTGGATTTTCTCCCATTGCTAATGAATTTGCTCTAGCTCCATTCAATAATGCCATTTTCTTTTGATAATTCATTTGCTTTCTATATTGGATATTATTCATTTTTGGTCCGCCAGTTCCTACAACACCTGGAATTGCACCACCACCACCAGCTCCTGCAGCTAAAGTAGGTATAATAGGAGCAGTAGTATCACCCATGCCTCTTATATGAGTAATATCAGAAAAGGACATTTGATTTCCGGTTGTTAAATCACCAATATCGGCACCAGCATCTTCATTAAAGTTATCAACTTTGTTTCTTCTAAAGAATCTATTTACACCTGATTGAGAAGTTAATGAAGATTTTCTTGATCCCTGAGTAGGAGGACCAGGTGGTATACCATTATTAGAAGGGTTATAATTATAGACAGGAGTTCCTTCAGTAAACAGCATTGAATGGTTATTTGAATATGGTTGTTGTTGAGTATAAGCTGGTTGATAGCGTCGTTGTTGTTGCTGTTGTTGTTGCATAGCTTGTTCTTGATTAAGAGTATTACTTAGTGCTTCTATGTCTTGTTCACCATTTAGTATTTGCTGTCTTAGACGTGCTTTGTTAGAACGCCCACCTCCCATAAGGGCTGATGTTCCTGCATCCATAGTAATGAGTGTGAGTTATTTATAAAGTGTCTATTGTTGACAATGTGTGTGTGTGTGTTAGTGTCTGTTGTTACAGTTTATGTATGTATACCTGGTATGTGTGACTGTCTGTTGCTACAGTGGTCTATTGTCTCGGGTGAGTAGTAGTACACAACACTTGGCTATGGTAAATAAAGAAAATGGTAACTTGATAATTAATTTAATAAAAATAATTAATTTTAAAGAGAGAAGGAGAGAGAGAAAGAGTGAGAAATAAAATGTAAACTGTAAAAATATTTTTAATTTAATTTTTTTTTTTTTTTCATTTGATTAATTAAATTTAATTTACAAATCTCTTCTGAAACAAAAATTAAATTTTTATTGATTTTTGAATTTGAAGCCCATGGCCATTTACACAGTATAGAAGCACTGTACACTTTGTAACTACAACAACTGCAAACAACTACAATAATTTGCAAGTAAATTTACCACCACAAGTTGAAATGCAGTCAATCACCCACCTTATCCAATAATTAATAATAACTATCTCTACTTGTAAGACAATCATATCTCATACTTTACTATATTTAGAATATTTTTGTATTCCTTAAGATTTCCTTATTAAAGGCATAGCGTGCCTGTTATACTGTAGTTCTAGAAAAGTGAACTTTTATTCTCTTATTAGCAAATAAATAATATGCATGATGGATTATACGCGTCGGGTTTAAACGAACTTACTTGAACTATAAATTGATTGTTCATTGTCGGGGTTACATTCTGTGTCTTTTTACGTGTCTCATCCTCGGTAGCGGAAGTTTCATTTTATATTGTTTGTTCACTTGTAACAATAGCAAGATATCTTTTTTCATCGTCAAAATTAAACTGAAATTTTATTATTAGGCTTGGTACACGCAATAACACAATTTTAGTTTAACAAAATCGGTTGTAAATATATTTTGTTCAAGTTTACACGACTTTTAAGCTTTTTTACTACCCGAATTTACCCTGCAGCACAGTCACTACTTTAAATGGCTCAGCCTATTGACCCAGCCCACCATTTACCCCCCAGCCACTCCAAACTCAATAATTCAAACTCAACTTATGCTACTTGATAAGGAACATGAAATCTATGTTCCAATGGTAAATTCATAGCCAGCCAACTAAGAATGAATGACACTTGTTGAATGGACGATTCTAGAGTACATACTTGCATTCCTCGTACTTCTTTTATCCTTTCCTGTATGTCTGCTTATCTAAGCTTTAATCATTCATCCAAGAGGGGGTGGGGATTAGTTAGTAAATTTTGCAGTTGCTTACTTATTCATGTTTTACTATTTGGTTGAAAAATTTGATTCCCCATTCTTTCTTTTTTTGGTTGCAAAAATTTCAACCACATTTCTTTCTTCTAACAATTCTAGATTCATAATGGACCATTTATTGTTTTTAAAAACTTATGATGTTTAACTAGAAAATGTGAATTAACAAAATCGTATCTGCCAAGTAACCAAACACATAAAAGTATGTATATATTGGTTTGTTGGAGCTTACTAAATAACAACTTCTATCAAATAAAACAACGACAATAAGGGCCTACCAATAATTCAATCACTGCCACTCAAGCCAGAAGTAGGTTATTGGTCGAACGCATCTAGATTTGTACCTGAGCATATAATAAAACGTAAAATAAACAGGAAAAGGATTATTCTTTGTTAGTGTAATCTATTGATTTTGTGGATTCGAAGCCCCAAGCCTCTACCGATTCTGATTTGTTTGAACTTACAACTGAATTGTACCTGTTCTTTTACAAAGCACCATTGTTTGAAAAATTTTGACACTTTTAATTGTGCAAGAATCTCCCATTATCAAGTTTCTATAAAAGACAATGAATATGACACTAATTCTTAGACTATCCCACTTTTGTATGCTAATAATACATTTCAGTATCTTCATCAATCGTTGACACTTAATTTTCACTGGAATTTTCACTGTGCTCCGTCAAGATTTTGTGAGTTAGTGCAGTGAAAGTTCCGTGCGAGATTTTGGTGAAGATATAGAGATGTGTATACTAGGAGAATTAGATTTGCTAAATTGAGTAGCGCACTGCTGAAATGATCTCAATCCTGGAAAATTGAGTTGATCACTCTTAGAAAATATTAACCTTTAGTTGCTTCATGCTTCCTCTTTACTAATGACCAAATCTTCTAATTAACTTCTACTCTACAGACGGTACCTTACAGAAACATAGATCAATAGATGTATTGTGGGTACCACGTTCATACGGTACCCATCTATATTTACTCTACATATAATTTATACTTAATACGGATTGAGTCGTTAGACTTCACCCAATTTAACCAACAGTACCAATGACATGATATCTCTTGTCAAAGAATATAACCCATTTATCAATAATTGCATTCTGGCTATCATCCAAATCTTCAGTATACCAATCTTCTTTATCATCGCTTACCAATTTATTCATTCCTAATAATCTACTCCCGTCTATACCAGCTAATCTATTATATGCCTTTCCTGGACCATAACTATTGAGATTCTGACTTACATCATATACTCTTCCTCTTATGGCAACATAGATCTTTGGATTGGTGGTTCCGTTATATTGACGTAATTCTTCATGAGTGAAATGAGGAAGGGTTGAAAGATCGAGATTGCTGTTATAGATTTCTGCTTCTGTTTGATCTGTAGTGGAGCTCATTTTAAGTGTTGTGTGGAACCAATTGAACTTGCAATTACTCAGCATAAAGATAAAGATTAACATTTGACGGAGTGGTCGATTTTTGACCCCCCGAACCCGAGGACGAAACCACAAAATATTCCAGCACGTGACTAGATTTTTTTTTCCCACATTAAAAAATTTTTTGGTGCATTTCGGATTGAAGAGAGTTCGATGAGGTAGTTTGAATAGAATAGACACATCAAATATACTCCATTACATAAAACATGAAGATTGATAATACCGAAAAATATCCAATAAATATCCAGAAATTATTCTCACCCAAACCTCCATTTCGATACCTTCCACCAACAGATATTCCACCCGAGAAACGAAAAACCAATTCCATAACTCCAATATCCAACCTCAAACAACAGATAAACCAATACATAGCCACCGATCTCCCACAAATAGAACAACAACAATCCGCCAATTCCCAACCCCAAACCTCCAACCATCAACGTCTCCAACAAGCAGCGGAATTAAAACGAAAACAAAACCAAGAATCATATAAACGACAACTCGCCCAATGGAATGATGCTGAATTGTTTGCCAAAAATGAGAAAGAATTCATGAAGGATCCATATCGTACAGTATTCATCTCTAGATTGGATTACCAACTTACTGAACTTGATATATCGTCAGCATTTCTGAAATATGGCGTTATTGAATCCATTCGAATCATTCGAGATCACCAAGGGAAATCAAGAGGATATGGATTTATCGTATATGAACGAGACGTGGATGCCAAGAACGTGATTAGTGAATTGAGTCGTAGTGGGTTACAATTGAATGGCAGGAATGTGTTGGTGGATATGGAAAGAGGAAGAATAATTAGAAATTGGAGACCGAGAAGATTGGGTGGAGGAGAAGGTGGGAGAGGATATTTAAAGAGTGGAAGAGTGAGTTCGGCAGCTGCGACGGCGAGAAGAGTGCATATTGCTAATAACCCGAATTATCTGTTTCAACTGCAACATCATCATCAACAGCAAGCACCTACAATTCCTCAATATGCTAGTCAACATCAACCAGGATATCAAAGTCATCTGAATGGTATAAAGAAACCAGATACAAAGGTTTCTATTAGAGATAAATATGCAAAGTATTCAAGTAGTAGTTCTCCGCCGACTTCCACCAGTACTTCTTATACTGGAACTAATACTGATCGTTCAATACGAAGTATTAGACAGTCATAGATCTTTAGAATAGGTAAGTATATATGCTTTACAGTTTATGTCAATCTAATCTGCAAAATCTGTGATGTCATTATTTTTAATTTTTCTAGTCTCTCCCCTGTTTACATGTTAATCCTCTTTTTGTACCAGCTGGATTTTACAGTTTTCTCTTGAGATTCGAGAAAAGGAACAGGAGAAATCTTTTTGAGACTCACCCGACTCTTCTCAAAAGACAACAGCCCTTTCTTATTGTTAGATATAGATATTAGATAGATTGCAAAGGAGGATTAATTGGAAACCTCACAATGGCTGAAGAATCAGGAAAGAGAAAGATTGAATCTAGTGAAATATCCAATGAAGTGAAAAGAACCAAATCGACCAATAATGATGAAATGAAACTATCAATTATCAATGAAATTACAAGAAGTTTTGATAGTAGATTACAGAAGCTTGAAAATCGAATTGAGAAATTGGAAGAGCAATTACTGTCAGATGGAAAGAAAGACAACATAGAAAGGTCCAAACAAAGTGAGGATGACGAAGAGGAGGATAACAATGATGAAGATGAGGAGGAAGATGTAGATGAAGATGAAGATGACAACGACATCGATGAGAGCGAGGACATAGATCAAGATAATATCAATCAAGTTGGGTCACCAACTGAACCACCCAGCATATCCAAGGAAACTTCAGTTCCACCAGCACTTCCACCTAGAGCTACATTTGGTGCCAGCTCTTTTGTTCCAAAAAAGTCAAATGACAACGTTACATCCAAGCCAGTATTTGGTGCAACTACTGCATTTGGGGGTGCAAGTGCATCATTTGGGAAATCAGTTATGGATAATATGAAGTATGGACAGCATGTATTTGATTCTTTGCCTTCGAAATTAGAAGCTTCAAAGTTAGATGAAGTAGAAAAGAAGGCTGAAATCAAGCCAGAAACCAAGACCGAAACTTCTACCACTACTTCTACTTTTGGATCTGGGTTTGGGAGTAAATCTCGTTTTGGCAATGCATTTCAAGAATCATTAAAGAAGAAATCATTTCTAGATAGTTCCTCAGAAAAGAAATCATCGCCATCCACCGCTATGGATATCACAACCTCAGACACAACCTCGGCCGGTGGTAATAACAACAAAATAACATCCCCCAAAATACAGCACGTAGAATTAACTCCAGTAGCACTGTCCACTGGTGAAGAAGACGAGATTTCACATTTCAATTCCACCGCCAAGATCTTCGAACTTGATTTAACTAATATAATGGAAGGATGGAAAGAAAGAGGAGTTGGACCATTGCATTTGAACCAATCCCGTTCGGATCAGACAAAAGCTAGATTAGTCATGAGATCTCAGGGACTATTGAGGGTGGTGTTGAATTATAAAATAAATAAGAATACTGAATTGCTAAAAGGTTTAGAAGCAAGCATGGCACCTGGGAAATACTTAAGATTGAATTCATTAAATGCCGATGGCAAACCTATACAATATTTGATCAAGTTTTCTAATGAGAGTTTGAGAGATGATTTGATTGAAAAAGTTGAATCCTTGAAGCTGCAGATGTAAGTAGCTGTATGGTTTGTTCTTCCGCTGGTTTGTGTATTAGTTTTCTATTGAATAGTTGTGTATATTATTAATTTCAATCCTTGATAAATGCAATACTACATACTGTAGATCCTTTAACACCTCCAAATTGGAAACTTGGATAATTTATCTTATCCCAGACTGATAATTTTGTATTTGAAGTTATGATTTTGGTTAATTCCACTTCCGTAAAATTACATGAGGTTATTAATAAGATCGATCCTTGGTGCATTAGCTGTTCGACTTGTCTTGCGTATATATCCATTCCAATTAATCCGTCAAACTCTTCTATTGGATCTTGGTTTAATGCTATGGCATCTAAAGTACCCTTGTCCAACAATACATCGAACTTCCCATGATTCTCTTTCAAAAATGGAGATTCTTTAGACAATAAATCAACTTGAGAGAACTTGAATTCAACTTCATTATATTTCTTTGCTGCAATAGCCTGAGCGAATTGGACTGAATCTGGAGAATAATCAATTCCAATATATTCAAATGCCTTATCTCCATCATATTCGTCTTGTATTTCATTCAGGAGTTCAAATAATAAATGACCATTCCCAGTACCTAAATCCAAAAAGGAAATCTTTTCTAAGGAAGTGATTTCAGTAGGAAATTCTTCATCTGTGAGTTTTTCAAGTATGAATTGAATCATTTTAGCTTCAGCATCTGAATCATCAAACCAACATTCTCCTGTATCTTCATCATTCTCATTGAAATTTGATTGTTCTTTCTTGTAAAAGTTGTTCCAACTGACAAACAGCAGTTAGTAAAAATACACTTTTTAAACTATTGGTGTATAGATCGATACTTACTATTCTTGTGTTCCTAGTTTGGAAGCATTTAATCGTATTTCTTCTGTCATTATTTATTTGGTATTGAGTTGTCACACTAGAGATGAGATGATTGAAAAATTCCAATACCATTCAAGAGAGCCGGAAAAATTTTGTGGGTTTGCCTCGGATGCTGACGCGTTTATTTTTCAAATTACACGTTTGGAATCAACAACACCAAACACCAACTCTTTTTTGCAACAAGTGAAGCAATACGAAATGGAGCAGGAGATAATCAACGTCGGATCAGATAGTATAGCACCATCATCACCCTATCAAGAAGTTGAAGACATAGAAGTAGAAACACCAGAAGAATCAACCAGCACGATTGATGAACAAACTCAACGTGAGTATCGAATATGGAAAAAGAATGCACCATTTTTATATGATTATCTTTCAACAAATTCATTACTCTGGCCCTCGTTGAATGTCCAATTCTTCCCTGATGTAACTGATTTATCCCAATCAGCTTCTGCTGTTTTATTAGAAGAAGAGAAGGCGACCAATCAAGATGAAATCGTTGCTCAAAGATTGTTGCATGGAACATTTACAATTGGACAAGCAGTTGACAGTATTTCAATATTACAAATTCCTACCTACAAGAACCTTAATGCTAATATCAAGATCAATAAATTGGATTATAATCCAGACAAAGAAGAATTAGAACTTTCTCCAACAGCATCAACAAAAGTTAAAGTATTACAGAAGATAAATCATTTAGGTGATGTTAATAAAGTGAAATATATGCCTCAGAATCCAAATATTATTGCAAGTGCTAATAATTTAGGCGATTTGGTCATATATGAAAGAACTAGGCATAAAAGTTTCAAGAACACCTTGATTGATGATACTGATATAAACAAGGTCCAAATCCGTCTTGTTAACGAAAAGATACCTACGAATCAATTAACTGATATTTTTGCCATTGATTGGAATAAGAATCAAGAAGGAGAAATATTGAGCGGTGATATGAATGGCTGGATAAATTTACATGATTTAGCCAAATATCAATCAGAGACTTTGAATGAATCTGCATGTTTCAAACGTGATAACAAATCTCCGGGTATTAATGATATAGAATGGTTCCCAACTCATGATGCCTTATTCGCAGCTGCTTTCGAAGATGGCAGTGTTGAAATATATGATAAGAGACAACAGAATTCCACTATGTCTAATCACAACATTTCTGAAAATGGAGTGAATAGCATATCTATCAATCCGGGTTTCGCAACTGGGTTTGCAACCGGGGATAGTAAAGGTATAATAAGAACCTGGGATCTTAGATCGTTGGAAGTACCCATTCATGAGAT